TATGTTCTCGTCTCCGCCTATCGTTCTCCCCCCCTTCAAAGCACAGTCTCTCAGATTGCTTGTCTTACAGTCTCTCCTACCATCAACAATGGGTTTCGTCCAGGATCTAAGACGTTTACTGGGAGCTCGTCCCTTTTCCTTCACAGGTAAGTCAATTGAACTTACATTCCACTATGTTCCCCATTTTTGCCCCATTATTGGTGTCGTTGGTAAGACTTGAAGGTCTACTCAAGCTCAAGCGATGGCTCCCCCTCATGGACAACATAGCACCATCTTTTCAATTCCAAATGATCAATAGGCTTGGTTACCCTGAGCTGGATTTGGTGCGGGATATGATTAACGGTTCATATTTACGGGAGGCCAAAAATGCTAGTGGAGGCGCATCGGTGGTAGTGCCACAGGATAATGAGTCAGATAAAGTTTCAAGTGGAATATTCCTAGAATTGTTCTCGATAAACGTGAACAAGTCTTTGTTCACTGTACCCACGTCACTATAATGGCCACTATATGGATCGACATCCACCATCGCTGAAAACCTGAGGAGGTCCGCAGCATCCGATCTCGGAGCAGCTGCTTGAATTCATCGATCGATTCAGATGTGGGCAGCTTCATCTGGACCATCACCTTGGTTGTGGAAAATCCTGTTAGTATGCTGCTCGGAAAACGCCCGATACTAACTGTGATTGTCTACCCCTTTGAGGCCCCGCACATCATGACGTTTCGAAGGATCAGAATTCAAGAACAGTCAAAAGTGAGGGTAAGCAATACATCCGTTACGCTGTGCGACCTAAGCTATGCTGAACACTCCTTAGACGAACGATCCTCGTGAAAAAAAATAATGAGTACCTGCTGCATAACCGAAATTAGCCTCAGACTGTAATCTTGTTGTTTGGTAGACTTGGATAGTATGGTTGGTCGGGCTTAGAATTACAAATGATTGAAGCCAACTCTGAAAAGATCCAACATCCACTTTAAAGCTGCTCTTGGACAAGTGAACAAGCGGGCACCCGATAGGAGGCCTGTCGGAGAAGAGAAGATAAGGCGAGAAGCCAGAGACGCATACAGGTGAGCGGCTGAATCGCAGCGTGTACTGGAGCCGGGTGCTGCAAGCCCCAGCCGGAGATGGGTTTCCAAAACTCTGCATCCTTGGACACAACTCCTTATTCTTGATCATGAGGACTGCGCCTTCAAACGGAGTAGAGACACAGTTTCGAGGACCCAGCTCCGGGAGGGGCTTGCTGCACGAGCCCCCTTACAATGACTTCGCTCAAGTTAATATAATAGAATGTGCTATAGGGCGTCCCACATCATAGAGCACGCGCTGTGACTCGTCTGCTGACCCCATGCGTCTCTGCTACCTAGCCGTGCGACGGACCTTCTGTTGGGCACCTGCCGAAAGAGCAGCAGTTTGGCTGAAATTATCAATACTTGGAGTTCTCACCTTTTGTGGTCATATTGAAGTTTTCCGAAAATGGTCTCGTATGAAAAAGAATTTGATATATGATCATTCCCCAGCTGGTAGATGTCAGTTTTCGCTGATCCGCGACTGAGCAGACCTTCAGCAAGCACGTTGCGAAGCATCTCCGGTGGAAGTTGCAGGTATTCTATACAGCAAACAATTAGAATTCCTCACGTTACCATGACTATTACATAAGCATTCTTCTACTGATGTTCTATCATAACTATTCGTAGTGCTTGGAGTAACCCTGATGAAGAATATGGGAAACCAGCAATATAGGCACACATCGAAATGAGAGGACACAAATTTAAATTTTATCATTGTCCTTCTGTTTTTCAATTGATTATATTTTCCTATACTTCAACTGTAAACAATAGCTAAATAAAAATATTCATGCATATTTTTTACTCTCATGCTGAACGTGGGTAATGCTCACCGGGTTCAAGCGTGCATTAGACGAGGAGGGTCGTATAATGTTCAGCAGAATGGAGAGGGGTTGCAGCGCTGGGATTAGCAATGATTAGAGCAGGTGTAGCCTGCTTGGGAATGAATGGGAACCGCATCTCGCGCTGGACGGCGTTATCGAGTGCACGACGCGTCCTTGAGCGACTTCGACCGAATCCAGGGGGATGTACTATCTTTTTTGGCGCCCTATTACTATGAGTTCGAACGCAGCGGATGCCATGGCCATGAGGAAGAGTTGTGAGTGCAACAACACTTACCCCAATTGGGTCATGAGGAGACACAACCGCACCGCGGGATTTGGTCAGACCGCTTCATACAATTAGCCGCTTTCAGGTTGAGACCAGGGTCAACCGTCCGTTGGACAAAGTCCAACGCAAAGTCCAACGCGACGACGAGAGTAATGCCGAGAGTGAACGTACGCACGGAGACACAGACGGCTCGCGGGTGGCGAGAGTGAATGCCGGCGCGGAGAGCGGTGAACATCGGTCCAACGTCGCTCCAATATCGGTCCAACGTAACGGTTGACCCTGGTTGAACTCCACTCACCGTTCTCTCATAGCAACCGCAACGCGCTATCTTTGACAAAAAACACATGGAAATTCTTTTACTATAGAACAAAAAGGAAACTAACTGATTGGTAGATGATCAACGTCGGCTCCCTGGAAGCAAGCAAGCTCCTTGTGCAGCATCTGAAAAAAGAGCAGACAGTTTCTTATATGTCGGATTAAGGATTTCCTTTCCAACATTTCTGTGACTCCTTTTTTTCTTCGGACTTCGCCGTTGAAATATAAGATCTATAAGATCCCTTTTACGCAGCAGAGGTTCTTGTCCGTTCCATGAGATTGAAATTTTTACTTATCGGAGAATTGTTTCTGCTTTCCTTTTTTTTCCTTTTTAGCAACTTGTTGTTCTTCGTTTAATTTCTGATAATAAATCATTAAATCATTAAATCTAGATCTAGAAGATCTATGTGGAATTCATAGACGATCGTTATTTCATCTGCCAGAAACCACCAGTGGATTACTCCATATGCGCCTCATCAAAACAGAAGAAGGTTCTTCTAATGTTATTCGGGTTTCGACGTCAGAACGCCCGTATCTCCGCTCCAAGTGCTTAGGTAATAGCAGGCATTTCTCTTCCTCATAGAGAGAGTGTTTCTAGTATTTTTATTCATTGGCTTGGGAGGAGGGGGTGGGGGGCAGGTTATCAAGAACAGAATCCTGTGACAATATGTGGAATGGGGATAACCTGTGAGATATCGGACTCCCAATCCAAGTTTCTGCCCGACGCGGCGCCAAGCAATTGCGTATTACGGGTGTTGAAGTAACACCGCAGTGCTCAACCGGACAGCGTTTGTACTGCGAGGAAAGACTTCATACAGGCCGGAGAAAAACGTTGTCGAAATTCCAATTCGAAGGTCTCCGTCAATAGAAGAGTCGTCTCACAAGCAAACAAACATTCAATTAATCCTTTTCCGGGTACAATACGTCCATATCATCATCGGTTCTCAGGGTCTGTCGTGGCGATGATTTGCACGATCACCCCATAGTTGTCGTTGGAGCCCACACCGTGTACTAAGTACATCCATGGGACATTCTGGAATGTTCCGGGGATCTTTTTAGAGAAATGCCGCAAAACTTTGCCCGCAACGTGATAGGTAAACAAATAATCCGTCGAAAGCGAAGTCATATTTCCATAATTTTGTGATATACGTGAGTGCTTTTTTGATTGTATTTTCTTGAAGGAAAAGTGATCTGCTGGGTTAAGGTGTAGGTAGGTGATGAGAACACCTATGAATTGTCTTTTTCTTGCCACGACTGGTCTGTCTATCTTCTATAAAGCGCTTCGTCTGTCGTTCTGTCCTCTGTCTGTCGTTCTGTATGTCTGTCACGAAATTCCCTAGCTCCTCGGGATCCGCCTGGAGGGACCGGGTCAAGTGTGGGATGGGTGGGCAGGGTCTCACGTAATACAAAACACACATCAGCTAAGCGGAGCCCCGCCCACAGAGGGCGTGGCGTGCGTCGAAATGAATTGTACCGAAGACCAAGATTTCGATTTCAGTGAAAAAACGACCTCGAAACTGGGCCAAAAAGTGGGCTAAGGTGTGCATTGGTAAGTCACATCGAATTAGGGAGACCCACCCCCGGCGGGGCGTTCTCTAAAAAAGCAGTGCTTTATGAAAAATTTCATAACTCGGTTGGGAGAAAGCCTACAGAGCAGAAAACAATTGGTGTAAGGGAGCAATGTCTAAGGTGTTTCCTGCATACATGACGTGGGCGGAGGCCGCCCAGAATGGGCGGGGCGCGCTCTGAAGTGTACAGCATTTTCTACAAGCCCTCATAATTCGGGTCGGGGAAGTCTTAAAGAGCCGGAAAAAGGTGGATAGAGGTGGGTGGAGGAGTGGAGGCCAGCTGTCATCGGTGGGCGGGGCTTGACCAAAGTGGGCGGAGTTTGCGACGAAAATATAAAACTCGGCTCCAACAAGTCCCGGAGGCCGGGAAGAAAGGGAGTAGAGGCCGGCGAAGGAAAGGAGGTCAACTGCTATTAGTGGGCGGAGCACGCACATAAGTGGGCGGAGTTTGCCAAAAGTGTCGTAATTTGGTTCCAAGAGGTCCCAGAGACCGGTGAAAAAGGGGGTAGAGGTCGGCGAAAAGAAGGGAGCCAAATGCTATTGGTCGGCAGGGCACGCACCGAAGTAGACGGAGTTCGCCACGAGATTTATTGTCCGGGCCGAGGACCGAGAAAAATAGGATAATGGTTGACGAAGAAAGAGCGCATAGAATTTAGCGGAGAATTCAGATATTCGTATTGTATCAAGCCAAATTTGAAATTTTTCGTCGCACCATCAAAATTCGCCACAGATCTGTGTTGCGCGCGCAATGCGTGCGGCGCCAACTGGTAATATTATAAAACAGTAAAAAGCATCGTGGCCTCAGGTTGCAGCTTATAAGCGCCTGGATTTCGCTTTTAACCATTAGTGTGCTGCGCTTGCAACTATAACGAAGGACTGGCGATAAGAATTAGAGTAACGGATAAAAGTGCCTAGTTCTAACCTTGTCCCAAATGATCTCCTGAAGTCCGAAGTCAGTGAGTTTAACTACCCAGTTTGCATCAACAACACAGTTTGACAAGTACAAAGACCCATGAAACTTTATGGAGCTTCCATGATATACTGAACACCCTGAAAAGGCAAACTTATCAAATAAAATAAGATTGAGATATGGGGAGAAACCCGCAAAGTAAATTCGTTTTCAAAGAAATCGTTCCCGAAAATTTTTTGAATTCTTCAACATGAATATGTATGCTGTGATCACTAGAGGAAAAGTACACTCTGCTTTAGTGAAGCCTCTACAAAAACGCATGTTTTCTGCCAGGTGAATGATAAACCTGTTGCAGTTATATTCTTTTAGTTGTCACTTACAACACTCATGTTACCAATTATTTTACTTGGAGGTTGTCGGTCATCTGCTTTGTTGTTCGCTATTCGAAGTTTTTTTGAAGCAGAGGGTACAAAGTGCAACGCAAGAAATTTCAGTCCCTGGAGAGCTACAAGCTTTCGACAACCACACTCTATGGACCGTAGAGGGTAGGTCAGGCAGAAATAAGGGAACACATAGATGGGAGCGGTTAGGAGGAGCCACTTGTCAAGCCACACATCGAAGGAATCGGGTTGAATCGTTTCGAATTCGGAGTATAGAGA